GTGGAAGACAATCCGAACAGGAGTTGTAATTATTCCAGGGAAGGTGGCTGGGGAGGTACGGGCTCATTTACTACCTGAGGGGATGAAAGAAATCGGGAGAGGCAATATTTCAGCCGCCGTGGAGGAGGGGGAGTAAGGAGAGAGAGAGTGAGGGAGTGAGGGAGAGGGAGTGGGAGGGAGGGAGAGAAGAGGGAGAGGGCTGATTGACAGGAGCTACCTGCCATTGCTGTCTATTCCAATCTCTCTTCGGTTCCAGCTCTTCTCTTCCCTAGTTCTGTCTATACAGACTGTCCCGTAAGTAAAGGAAAATTTTAAAGAGATGATACTAGATCTCAAGGGCTACTAAAATATTCGTTTGAACTATTATTCGATTTTCTGCTGGAAATTTAAAAAAAAAAAATCTAGTGCGGGCAACACACAACTTTCATTTACCGCTCTACTTGGAATAGAAATTATTCTCTGGCAATGCTCGACTATTATAAAATGTTTGAGGTCCATTTTAAACGGAACTAAAGCTTAAAGCTTACAGATAACAAATCGTTACGACCATTATAATTACAAAAAGTCGATTTTTAATATAGAAGGTAGGCAATAATAATCTACTTTTATAAACCACACAACTTCAGTCACTGAGCCTTTCAGTTGACAGAATGCCTAACTCCAACTTCAACATTTTTTATTAATGTCATTTTATTGATATTTCTAATTGAAACAATTATCTATACAGACAGTAAGTTGATTCCGGAGTAGGTGATTGCAATGTTGTAATAAAGAACTGTGAATTAAGGCATACATTTTGCCACTAGAAAAATCACTAAAATTAAAACTAAAGAATGTTGAAATTGGAGTTAGTCATTCTGTTAACCGAAAGTCTCATATATGCCTACAGAGGTATGAACGTATATCTGAATATTTAACCTATAAATGATTATGGATCGTACTACTATTATTTTCCAGACCTGTTATTTTCCATTGTAAAGTTTACAAAACAAAATTACGATATTTACATTGCCTTCATATTTACATTTACATTTACAGGTCAAACGTTGTCACATTATAAGTGGATAATGTTGGGATTTCACAGAGGGAAAACTCATCAAATTATTCACTAATTTAATTTTCTAAAAGGTTACTTGATGATTTTTTGGATTAAACGGCCGATAGATACCGGTTATCCGATTTTAACGAAAAAGTTGCTGTCACACTAAGGCACATACCTATCTTAAATACGTAATATGAGTTTCTTACGTCTTTTCATTTTTGAGCTAGACTGCTAACAGACACTCAGACCATTCTTCGGGGCTTGGTTATTTGCACTCAGGGTACTCCAAAACGTGTATTTCCGTTGAAAACTCAGATTCAAAGTTTTTCACGATCGCAATACTTACCCTTACTATATATTACATATATTCGTAATTTAAAGTAAAATCTTAAAAGTTAAGTATTTTTGAAGTGATAACTTGAGTGAATTAGATTGTGCCGTTAGGTTTTCAAAATGTAACGCTCGGATAAAATCGGCTGGAGTCGAATTATTGAAGCATTTTTTATATATGTATTAAATATCTCAAAAATTAAAAATCAGACCTGCATATTATAAGCGAGGGAATTGTTCAACATTTCATCCTCTTTATAATGAGCTATTATTTATAATTTATATTTAATGGTATTAATTTCGTCTTGTTGATTTCCACTTCTATCGTGTGGTCTAACGCACACAATTAAGTTTGTTTTATTCAAGTGTCACGTTTTTTTTGTTGAATAAAAAACGATAACTAAAATAAATATTTAATTTAAATAATTAACTATTGCTTCACAGTGAATTAGACAAAGTTTATTTCAAAGGAAATTATTAGAGTCGGTCATAGTTAAAACCGATTAAGGTGGATTTTTGAGTGACTAAACAAAATTGAGTAATTTTAAAAAAAATATAATATATCACCCTCCAACCCGACCTGAGCAAAATCTATTTTAAATATTATTTTAAAATACTGTGTATTTTATGTTTTTCAAATAGAGTGTATTTTAATTACAGGGTATTTAAATGATTTTCAGAAAATTTATTTCAAATAAAATACTTTTTGGTGGAAAATCAATGAATAATACAGAGAACCTACACTATTTGGTATTTTATTTTGTGCATTTAAAATACAAAATTAAAATACATTGTTTGTATTTTAGTATCTTCAAAATATAATACAAACACTTTTTGTGTTTTAAATGTTAAAAAGAAAACACAGTTATAATATATTATTTGGTAATTTTAGACTTCTTCTATTTTCTTATAGTTCAGGATTTTTTTTTACTAGTGTTGGCCAAAATCGATCTTCGTCTTGCACTTTGCTAGGCCAAGACCAAGGTCTTGGGCAACACTATCTTTTACCATTGTCAATCTCTTTTTTGTTTTAAAACTTTATTTGTACAGAAGCTTTCGGTGCCCGTGCACCATATCCATCTCTTTTATTAGTTTTGTCTATTTAAAAACATAAAGTATAAGAATAGTGTTATTGTTCTTCGTCTCATGTCAGCTTTCTACGAGAATATGACTCCTCTTTGTCGGACACCATCTTACAACAAAGAGACTGTCAATGGTAAAAAATCTTTAACTTATAATTACAATCTATTTTGTATTTTACTTCTTAAAATGTAAAAAACAAAAAATGTATTTTAATATACTTTATTTGAAATATTCCCCAACTCTTCTTCTAAGTATACCACAGATTCTCCACTTCTAGAAAAACTTATTTGTTTACTAAACTGTAGAGTCCATATTAATTAAGTTGAATTTTATAACGAAATAAATTGAGATTCATCTCAAGATTTGTATAGTAATTATTGTGATTTGATATCCTATCACCAAAAATTACTATTGTTTTCAGCAAAAATTACGACAATATATTATTGCATAGTTTTACTTTATTTTTTTCATGAACTGTGTTGTATTATAATAGACTTTGATGCATAATTAAACTTTTTATTTATTAAAAAAATGCAACAAATAATGATTTTTGAAATATTCTGTTCTAAAGTGATGGTGTGTTTTTTACACAGATATCTCAAATTTATTTTGTAGCTGTTGAGGTCTACTATTATCTCTTTAATTATTTCTCTTTATTTTCGAAACCCTCTTTATAGGGCTATCACTGAGTCACATCTTCCCTAGCAATAATTATCAAATTCGGTCATAATTTATATTTAGCTATTTATTATTAATAATACTAACCACGAGAGACTGGTACTTATTTCAAATAAATATTTAAGATACAGTAGAGGAAGACATTTTGATAAATCGGCCATTTAAGCCCTATCAAACTGTATTAATGATGATAAGGCCTAACTGATGTTAAAACAAATTGTTCATTGATATAATGAGTTTAACCTAAATCGTTAGAGTCGTCTTCGAAAAAATCGTATTTACGGGTTAGCCGGTTTTAGTGAAATCGTTGCTGTAAAATCCTATCGGCAGAGGTTTTAATACCACTCAATAGTTGATTTTTCAAAAAACGCTACAAAATTTAGTTATTGTTTATTTTTATGTCAAGATTCCACAAGAGGCTTAAGAACAAGATTTTTGTGTAAAAGTTTAAAAAATGTCTCTACTTTAGTTCCACATATGTTTAATCAAATAAATAAAGGCCAATAAACCCTATTTTTACTACAACAACAATAATATCAAATGAGGGTGTTCTAAATTTATACGTCGATTTTTCACATAATTTATGTGAATGAGCTTTTTACTTAAAAATATAATTGTTAATTGTGAATTAATCTACTGTATTATTTTATTTTATTTCGAATTGTCCTTGAAATACAGTTCTTAAAATAATAATATCTAAACCAACTGAGAAATAATAATAATTAACTTACCAATCGATTCGAGTGTTTTGCTTTAAAAGAGATTTTAGAAAGCAAATACAAATAAAACTCCGTCATCTTGAAGAATTGTGTTAAAACAGGAGAATCAAAATAAATCCCACCTAATTAACTTTACCCTTCGTCGTAAACCTATGACTTCCTGTCCTATAGTATCCTTTAGGAATACTACGCTTACTCCTGTTGAACGAACCCGTTACCTAGGACTGCACCTGGACAAACATCTAACTTTTAATCCTCATACCAGACTAAAAAGACAAAAAACAAGTTGACGTTTCCGACTACTTCAGTACTTACTAGACAAATGCTCTAAACTCGCAACTAACTACAAAAGAATCATAAGGCCGATAAGGACGATAATAAGGCCAATTTGGACATTTGGAGTTGAGCTTTGGGGCTGTGCTAAGCCATCGAATTTCTCTACTCGAATCTTTACAATTCAAAATCCTTCGTAAAAGTCTCAATGCTCCTTACTTTGTCACAAATAAAATCATGCCTAAAGATCATAATGTTCCATATGTTATCGATTTGGCCAAATCCAGATACCTATCTTTTCAGAATCAAAACCATCCTAATCTTTTCGTTTCTAACCTTGCTTCCACTTCGATCCCTGATAATTCCATGAGGCGTCTGAAAAGAAGATGGCCTCGTGATCTCCTAATTTAGATACTATATTAGAGTGCTACCAATGAGGAGATTCTCTACAAGTCTTTTCATGCTGCTGTGTTTCTCTGCACTACATTTACTATATGTATATTTATTTTTATACAGTTGGTGAATTTCATGGATAAAAAAAAATTAGTAGGAATTTTGACAGCGTATTTCACATCAGTGAAAGACACTCAGGTTTTAGGAGTAAATAGGTTTTTCATATAATTAGAAAAACCCAAACTAAATCATTTACAGTTTCAAACCAAGAAGTAGCAAAGATGAAGTTTTACTAAAAAAATCAACTGGCAATGGGCTATTGTATATCACTTGAGGTTCAGGTATCACCATCCTAGGTGTTTTGACAGCAAATCTACTCATATTTGCATTATTTTTTGGTGAATGAAGCTTAGTATTTAAAACAGTCTGTTACTGGTACAGAAACTGAAGATTACTCTTTCAGTTACCTTTTGTATCTATCTTTAATAACCTGTTAAATATGATTTATAGAAGTGAAACAATCAGATTTGCAATCCAAGTAAGGTTGTTTATTTGAATAGGTAAATGATTGTAAGTTATTATTAGTCGAATTACTTCACTTCCTTCCCTCGGAGGAGACAGGTACATGGTCACAGGATGGTGCAGGCCTTGTGCTCGCGGGCACTGCGGTCCTCGGACGTGTCCTGGTCGGCCGAAGAGGAGAGCTCGTTGACCCTCTGGAGGACCGCCTTGGGGCTCAAGAGGCTGGGCCGCGGCGATGCCTTGTGGCGCACCATCTTCTGGAAGGTGGCCTGGCTGATGTCGCACACCTTCAGCAGTTCGTTGATCACCATCTGCTTCGTTTCAGGGTCCATGTCCTGGGCGTCCATCATGTCCAGCTGGTGGTCCTTCCGCGAGTTCCTCCTGTTCAGGGCGTACTCACTCCTTTTCTGGTCGGTGATGGTATGGTTCGATCTGTTCGTCCTCCTAGCGTTCCGGTGTGGTCTGTGCTTGTTTTGCTTTCTTCGAGCGTTATTTTTTTTCTTCTCATTTTGTTCCACTGGGCGACCCATAATGCTTTTTGTCACAAATGGTAAAAAGTTGCAGCCCTCTCTGCAAGAGCCTGAGCTTGTGTCGTAACAATTTTCGTATTTGAACCTTGAACTTTGTGTGAACAAAGACCGACGACCTTTTTGTTGGGATCTGCGAATGGAAACATCACTTCTACGAGAAGTGCGACCAATTAACACTTGAGATGTACTCACGTCTTTATCTTCAGACTGCGGGTGGTGTTTGGTACTCTCGATTTTCTTCAGCTTTATTAATGTATGACTACTGATGTTATTCTGCCTACTTTCGGTGGTTTCTTTGTTCGATCTTACCATGATTTCGTGCATATATTTTCTTTTGATTTTTTTTATTTGCCTTGAATCGGATGAGTTTTTCGAAATCTTATCTTCACTGTTGTGCGTTTTGGGATGCAGTTGCTTTGGTCTTTTTTTATCTTTTCTCGCATGTTTTTGGTTTTGTTCTTTGTGATGTTTAGTATTGTTTCTTTCCTGAGTATTACCATTGAGCTCTGACGTCAGTGAAGAGGTGTTTTTGCTGATATGAATGGGGTCCGACCGCGTGACAGTGAACGTATTGATCTCCATCGTCCTCTTGCTCGCATGGTCCGCTATCGAAGCAACGTGGTCCTCCCTGAATTGCCTTCGAATATCTTTCACTGAGGGCCGCCTATATTCTATTTTTTTCATGACGACAGATTGCATCTTCAGCGGGGCCTCTTTCTCTTTGAGGTGGGAATGGTGCACTTTCTGCTGTTCGAGTCCCTTCCAGTCCGAGCTGGCTTCCTGTTTTGACCAGGCCACCGTGTCCAGAATTTCTGTTTGCAAATGTTGCACCCATTGAGTCCCTCTGTTATACCTCTTGATCCGCTGCGGTTCTGTTCCTTTCTCCACTATACTGACACAAGCTGTTTGTGTAGGTATCACATCCACAGTCTTAATCAGGTCCATGGTACCACTTTCTGGAGAGATTTCAAAATTAGATTCGGCAGCGCTCAATGAAGTCTGAGTCTCCTTGTCTGTAGCATCTTTGGAAACTTGAAATATTTTATAAGAACGTTTGATAAGATTTTTTTTCGAACCCCAATCCGGGAGTGCGTTGCGGGAATCATCGCTGATAGCGGAAACTCGTTTCAAACCTAGCAATTTCTTAACTTCGCTTTCAGTCAGAACGATGAAGCCTTCGCCACACTTTGAGTCCAGCGTCTGGACGGACTGTTTCATCGGTTGGTTCAGTTCGCTGTTCTCTCGGATTAAGGCTGATGATGTCAAATTTTCCATTTTTCTAATTTCGTTATTCGATTCTGTAACTTCTTCAGGTTTAATTAAAGAATTCAAACTCATGTTAATACATTTTACAGTTTGATTACTGAAGTTAGAGCTATCCTTATTGATATTGTGAGAATCTTCCTTTTGTAATTTGATTTCATTATTAGATAGTTGTGCTACATTCACTATTATATTATCCCCTATTTGTCCATTATGTTCCACAAAGTCATTCAAGATTTTCTTAGGGGTGTATTTCTTTTTGTATGAAAATATTTTCTTCTTTTTTCTTTTATCTTTAGACAAAACGTGGTGGGTTTCTTTTCTTTGTACCGTATAAGGCTTTCGGTAAGGGTATCTTTTCAGATTTTCTTTTTTTCTAGAAACATCCTTGTATGAAATGGTACCATCAAAAGTTTTTTCGGTAGATTTTTTCGATTCACTTTTCGAATAAAACTCTTCCATCGTAATATTTGAATTGGTAGAATTCCAACGTTTGGTTACGCTATTATAACTAAAACTGGGTTGGTTTTCTCTTTTTCTCATGGGTTTTATCCTCTTTTTTTGAGATTCAGATTTGAAATATGAGGAAACAGACTCGTTTATACTTTTATCCAATTTTTCACTATCTTTCCAATTTGAATCAGAAGAGACATTTGAAAATTTTATTTCTTTAGATTTGTCTTCATTTTTTAAATCTTTCTTGGCAACGTTTCTATACTTGACTTCGTTATACGTTTCCTCAAAATCGTGGTCTAAATTGTAATTTTTAATTCTTGTCCTTGTGGCATGATCAACCTTGTCTAAATATGGCATGATGACACCTTCCCCAGCTATCTTGAAGGCTATGGCTAAAGCAATAAATGATTTTTCTCGAATGATCAGTTGTCCGTGATGGAGACAATTTGCCAAAGACTTGTAAAGAACTGAAAATTCTGATTTCCTTAGTGTTTGTTTGTTCGTATTCTTGAACATTCTGGATAGTAATTGTATAGTCTCGAACCTTATAGTTGGGTTTTTACTACCTAGGAAAGCGTTGATCGTTTTTATTAAAGATTCAAAAGAAGTGGTAGTGATTAAGACATCGAGTGCTTTCCTAAGCTGCTCTGTTATGTTTTGCCTCTTCTCAACGAACTTCTCGAGCAATATTCGACAAATACCGATGGCGTATGTACTGAACTGTTGCTGAAGCCCTTGAGCGATCCCCGTGACGCTAGCGATCGCCAGGCCGACCACGATAACACACTGATCTTCGATGATGACCTTCTTCAGAGCTGTCAAGAGAGGTTCGTAGTTGCCTGGGCGCAGTCTTGATGAACTCTCGATGGTCTTTCGAAGCTTCACTAACGCGTCTCTTCTTTCAGTCCATTCAGGAGAATCCAGATTTCTGAAAAATTCTTCGTTTATTTGGCTCAATAAATCTGTTTCCTGATCTAATGATAAATTAATATTTCTGGAAGAACTATTTTCTAGATGTTTATTATTTCTTACATGCCTAGTGGGTTTTAATTGTGACGCATGTTTCACATCTTCGTACTTTTTCAAAACGTCCTTTAAATCCGCAGGGCTTAGAATTTGCCCAACGTTATTTATGCTCTCTTTTCCTTGCCAACGATAGATTTCTAGAATCAAAGCCTTGGTCGCAGATCGTAATTCCAATTCATCTGTTTCTTGAAGGTATGGTAGGGTTTCTAAGACGTAACCAAGGTCGATTTCTTTCGGCCCAAATACTGATACTATTTTTGTTATAAACTCGATACATGTTGTCACTATATTGGACTCCTGGTTTATCAATGCTGTTCTTAGCAATTCGTCTATAACATCCTTCGAGCATCCGACTTCCACGTATTGCAATATGACCTGTTCAAGCAACTGCTTGGCTCGATGTTTCATATTGGTTGGGATATTGTCGAGCAATGAGTGAATAACTTCAGTGGATAATTTGTTGGCAGTTTCGCACTTTTGTACGAACTGCAAGACCACCTCAAGAGCTTGCTCCCTGAGCGCTGGGAAGCTCTCTGCGGCGATGTTAGGAAGCACATTCTTGTAAATTCCCCACTCGCCCGAGGAAGGATGCAGTTTTTTAAAATGGCCAATCAAAGTCCTATACGCTACTGATCTTACGTTCCATTTTCTGTGAATGCAAGCAATTTCTGGTGGTAGATCCGTTGAGAGGTCTTTTTCGCCCATTTTCGATTTTCGAATACGTTTTTGACAAATTTTGATATGCCTTTTTGGAAAAATACAATAGTTGATTTTTAATTGTGAATTTTTATTTAATTTCTTAAACCATCGAAACATATGGCATCCTAACTGCTGATCATATATTTTAAATTAGTGGAGCTACTCTTTTCTGTTAACGCTTCGTATAAGCTGTCTAACAGTTTTAAAATATGTATTTGTGTTTTGTAGTGGCACAACTCTCTTAGAGTCCAAGCTTTATAATTACTCCTGGACACTAAGAGAGTTATTTTATAATGTTTCCTTAAGTTACCCGAATACGTTACTTCCTTATCAGGGTTCATGCCAGTACAGTCAGTGGTACCGCTGTACAAGTGTCACTCCAATTGGCTAGGAGGCCAAGATATCATGAACATGCTATAAATGAAACTCCAAGAATAGTCGAATGTTGACCTGCTCACAGTATAACCTCAATTTATTTAAAATCCGATTCTCCGCAAATTCACAGCCTTTTCAGTTTAAATCGTTAACTAGGTTTAATTACATGACAGATTTCGACTTCGGCTCGCTCTAACGGGGATATTCAAACACCCGAAGGTCCCTTTCAGTTGATATGAGGGCCTTTCTCGAGATTCCATTTATGGTATGATCATGAGATGTTGTGCTACCTATCAAAATGGAGTGATTCTTGCACATTAGTGCCAAATTAGTTATCCTACTTGTGATTGTTTCCCTAGGTTGCGGCTAGCGTTTTTTTCAGATTTATACACATCATTTTATAAAAGTTTTGTTGAATTTTTACAATGGTTGAACAATCTCGTTAAATAAATAATAATAGATTGGCGTTAAAAATTTAACATTTTTATACGAGGCAGTCATATGTAAAATATTAAAACTTGGTAAGAAAAATACAAACTATTAAGTAAAGAAAAAAATTTAAGCTGTGATTAGGAATGTCAGGAAAGGTCTCAAATTCGATAATTGAATGAGATTTTTTAATTCGTGTTGTTTTTTGATATATTATTTTCAATAATCAACCACTGTGATAACCAAAAAATTAAAAACTTAACCCCCTCTCAAAATTCGAGGTTTCACGTTGCAGGATTCGTAGAATTAGAAAAACGAATACAAATTTTTTTGTTCGTCCGCCGTCTGCCGTCCGCGCATTTTCTCCGAAACTACTGGACCGATTTGTTTCAAATTTGGATATAAAATCAGAGGTCACCCGAGGATGATCCTCCTTCATCGACATTACTATCCGCCTGTTACTTTCAAAATGGCGGCCGAAAAATCTGCGTTGCTATAGACTGTAGCTCCTAAACGAATGTACCGATTTCAGTGAAACTGAAACTCAGCTAAAATCATTTTCTTGACGCCCTTTAAATTTATTTAAATAACATTCTTCAACGAAAAGAAGCTGGGAAAAAGTTACGAGGGATGGTAAAATTTAATTCCAAATAACGGTTTTTAATGTTTTTTTAAAAGTTTACGGAATTTCCTAAAAAACAAAAAACAACTCGTTAAAATCGGACAATTAGGAGCAAAGATATGGTCACCAGTTTTTTAAAATATGTTCTACTAAAAATGTTATATCCTTTTTTTAGTTTTTAAATTTTGAATGTGTTATTGAAGTAATATTTTTTTTAGCATATTACTAATGATTAAAAAAAAAAGTTTAGTCCAATAATTGGAATCACCTTTTATTTATTTTTCTTTGTAACTAGGAAGGTAATGTTACTTTAGATGTATAGTTGTTTGGAAACAATAAACCATTGTGAAATAATTTGCAGCGTTTTTTTTTAGTTTAGATATTTGTTCCCGTTCTATCTAGTTAGGGTTGGCACTTGAGGTCGAGAGATCCTCTTAAGTCAATATAAATTAGGTCTTAGATCATTCGATTCATTCCGTAAAAGAACAATAATTCTTTACCTCATTACTTATCAAAAACTGGACCTATGTCTTGGGAATACTTTAAGGATATCGATATAGGGAGAACTCATCAGGCAGGAGGTCCAGTGGTGGACAGGTTGGACTTTAAATGTAATAATAAGCTTCCTTGTTTATTTAAAAGTTTCAGTTTTTTCTAAATTGAAGATAATTCCCCTTTATTGGCAACTGTATGAATAAAGTTTCCAAAAGAAAATTTAAAATGCCTTTATCATTGTTGTTTGTATAGTGCTCATGAGATCAGTGTGTTTCATACCTTCCTACTAACAGTTTCGGTAAGAGTAAGTTGAACATTTATCTTATCTTTATTGTTAAATAAAGATTATATAAATTTTCTGAGGTATATCTATATATTACTGATACTGACTCCCTCGACATTACTAGAACAATAGAATTTCGGCGTGTGTCACTAGTGCAAAAAGGTGTTTTTTTTTAGATGGGGGTTATACCTGCAGAACTGAATGTTTTTTAATTTTAAAGTTTTAAATAGAAAAAGGAGACTCTAGAAATTTTAAACGTCTAACGGAGAAGGAATAACTATAATAATTACAGCAGCATAAGCCAAAAAAAATAAAATTTCCTTAGCTATGTCCATTACCGGTGCTCTTATCCTAATTATATTCTCTCCAAAAAACATATCCGACCCAAGAAAATCGAAATAATCATTTTAAGGTGTACCCAGAAAGTCATTGTCATATTTGTAGCCCGGAGGTAAAAAACACCATGTCCATTTTTGTATTTGTTTGGGGAGCCAATGTTCTATAACTTTGAGCTATTAAAATGTGTTTCTTAGTTAATAAATTATTTAATATAAGTTATTAAAACGGATATAGTGTCGTTTACCTCCCAGAGAGAGATATTATTGATTGAATTTCGGGATGTCCATTACTAGCGCAAAAAGGTGTTTTTTCTTTAAATGGAGATTATACGTGCATAACCTAATATTTTTCAATTTTAAAGTGTTAAATAGAAAAAAGAGACCCTAGCTATTGTAAACGTCAAACGAAGTAGTTTTTAACTATAATAATTACGACGCCATAAGTTCCTTATAAATTATACCTGCATAACTGAATGTTTTTTAATTTTAAAGGTTTAAATAGAAAAAAAAGACTCTAGAAATTTTAAACGCCTAACGGAGAAGGAATAACTATAATAATTACAGCGGCATAAGCCAAAAAACTAAAATTTCCTTAGCTATGTCCATCACTGGTGGCCTTAACCTAACTCTATTTTTCTCCAATATTATTTATATTAATGTATCGATATTGAAATTTTACTATCGAAAGCTGATCTTTTTTTTAATGAAAGGAAAAAAAAACATAAAACAGTGCAAAGACGCCGGATTAAACAACTTTTACTTGTACTGTTATGTTTGGGGTACTGTTATGTATGGTGGATGTTGTGATGTCAACCGACGTCCTCCATTTCTTTTTTTTTATTCTGGCAGTGCGGAAGTATTTTGCGAAAATTGCCTCTATTGAATAATTCACAAATACTAGTTTTTATTATACTTTACTTCAATTTAATGTAAACCATCTTCCCTATTTCTTGTCTACGGATGCTGTAAAAATATGAAAATATTGATTTTAGAAATATCTCAATATTTTTGTTAGATAGTTTTAGTGAAATGGAACATAAAAAATAATTATTTATTAAACGGAAAAGAGGTACTTTTATTTATTTATTTGACTTTAGATTACATTTACAACTCAATTGTACCATATTTTTACATAATCAGGAGGGAATCTTTAGGCCTCTACCTTTTTACTATTTGTTGAAGCTTACGTAGTAACAGGGAAGAAGAAAGAGACAGGAGGAGTGGATTTGAATAGTTAAGAGTTGATGAGTGGAATGCTATGTATTTGTTATGAACGGAGATTTTTTCTGTTGATTTGTTCATATCGTTTTGTATAGTGTAATTTAAAATAAACTTTTTCGAATTCTTCAGGATTATGTGGTTTGAATTTTTTTTATATGGGGGTGTTTTAAAGAACCACAAAATTCTGCTCCATATATCCAAATAAGTCTTAGTATGGTGGTGTAGATTTATATTATATTAATCGCTTGTTTTGTAAGTTGAATCTGTAGTCAGTTCTTGTTTTTTTAATTTGGTTTGTATGTTCCCAGTGAGTTTTTTGTTCAAGTACAGTTCGACATACTATTCTACAGAGAGATTTGCTGCGTTTTATTTTAATTTTTCATTGATTTAAAAAAAACCCACAATATATACACATATTTTTATTTTACATATTTTACTCTCATATTTTACGATATTTATACACAGGTTAAGGACCTGAGTAACAGCTGTTAGGCTGAATATCAGCTGTTTTGATAGGTATATAGGAGAAGGGAGATGAATAAAGTAGCCTTAGTTAACTACCGTGTGTTTTGTTTCTCATCAAAACACCCTTTTTTATTACTTTATAGCTGCTGGACTTAAGTTATATATATATATGTATTTAATTTTTTTATTTATAATGTAAATTTTAAAGGTTCATGACGTATTATTTCAACTGGATTCCCTGGATACCATTGGGTTTTTTTTATGGAATTCGTTTGGCTCATCTATTGTAAATAATGTATTATAATTTTAAACTGCAGTATCATTTAAATAACGTATGTTATATAAATGTTTTATACGTTGAATTTATTTATTATCTAAATTAGAAGAAAAGATAATAACCTATGCTATGGCTAGAAGTGGCGCAAAAGCTTTGAGTCCATAATGGAGCGTAGGTTTTGAGAACAGGTCCAACTTATACAGGGATATGTGATCCGGGTAGTCCGAAATTAAAATATCTTTTACAAGGTGTCCAGGACATCAATAATGTATGTCCTCCTCAACCATTCTTTGGTCCTTCTTCTTCACACCGTGTCCTTACCTAAATGTCAACCGTAAGCTCTTTAGTAAACATTTCTCTGTTATATAAAAAAGTTTTTAGTGTATGTCATATTTTATTTTAATTTATGATTAGGAGCACAGGAGGTTACATGAGCTCTCCTATTAGCTCTTTAGTTAGCGCTAATTACGCAGCTGTTGATTTAATTTGTACTAAAAATTGATTTATTCATCTGGAGACGGTAGTTTGATTTTAGCTAGGTGACAACAGTTATTTTTCGAATTATATTATATATAATATTATTTATATTATATTGTGATATTATTATAATTATTGTGAAATAGTAAAAGAAGCACAATATAACGAACAATGAAAATATTAGAAATAAAATGCTTA